CCTGAGGGGTGGCGGTGGGAGTCTGTTCCCTGGAGGCGTTGTGATGAGTTTGGGAATGGCGAAGGCGTTACCGCTTGCATGCTTGCTTTTGGGGAGGTTGTATTTGCTAGAAGAGTTAACTGTATGTCGATATTTTTAGGGTGCTTTGCAGAGGCTAGTAATGTCTATAAATCTGGGCGTCTTTTTTCCTGGTGGTATTAATGTTGTTTCCACCTCTTGGTACTCAGTACCAAAGTAATCCTGCTAAGTAACAATGCTGCATTTTTGACAGTAAGGCGGTACGCTTTGAATATTTTTAAAAAACTCTTTTCTCGCCCTTGCTGAGTAAACTTCTTTGAACATAAAATAGGATATGAACCAAAAACTACACAGAAAATTTAAATACACAAAAGGAAAAAAAATCCAACATTATTTTCTCTGACATTCGTGTTGTGAAAGATTGTCTCCTACTGGATTTGTCCTGCAAAAAAAACCAGTGTATCATTGTGGCCAGAAGAGGTATTTGCTAAGCGATGTGAATAGGAGATGGTGGAGATGTAGGGTATTGCAGGAAGCCACAGGACATATCTCCTCACCTGTCTATAGTTTCAAACTGTGAACTGCATTCCGAAGTTCCTAGGCATGGATGGTCTTTCCACTGCCTTCCAGTGAAACAGAGATAACTGGCAAATTTGCCTGAATGCTCACTTGTGTGTTTAAGTTGAGCTCTGTAGCTTTGCAGCTGAGGGGGAGGAAGACTAATCTAATTAAGTGTGTCTTATTAAATCTCTCATCACAAGGGGAAGAACTTGGAAAATTGCATAGAAATTTATTGCAGGAAAGAAAGTCTAATTCTAACCCATAATTCTTGAGGGCTGTGTGAGGAAGACATGGGTAACTTATGCAGAGTCATAGGGTTGATAATGATTATCTCTCTCTGCTTTGAAGTCTCTGGGATTAGGCAGAGTTCAGTGGATAAGCAAACTTCTGTATGTTATTTTTGTTATTTAAATTTTACAGGAAGGTATGTTACCTTCATTTGTGCTATGTACCTTCAGTAGAGAAGACGTTTTAGAGTTTAGAAGAGCATCATGATTTCCCTATATATCACAAGCTTTCCAAGCATTAGAGTATGAAGGATGACAGTGTGATGTGATACCTTTTTTTTGGAGGAGAAAAACAAACACAGAAAGGAAGAAAACCCAAACAAACACCACCACCACAACCCACACATTTATTGTGTGGGGATAAGTAGCTTTTTCCACTTAGCGCTATAATTATTGAGGCAGGATCATGATGAAGAAATAAGGGTGCTGCTTGAATCAGTTATAATTTATTTAACTATTAAACCTCTACAGTGCTCCTGATTAAGAGCCAGCGAATAGACTGGCAGGCAGTAAACTTTCTTCATTTACGTGCTCTGTTATTTTAGGGTATATTGGGGTATATATTTGAGACTTGAGACAACAAAAGATTTTGTAAAGGCAAACTGCAACTACTTCTGATCAGATTGGGCAAGGTGTTTGCCAATGAGCAGGGAAAAACAAAACTAAGACCTTCCACCCTATCATTACTGAAAAATAATTGGAAAGCTTTAAATATTGCTTACTGGTTGGAATGCTAGGATATAATTTTTCTTCTAAGTTTTTCATTCTTTCTAGGTCATCCATAGGATTTGTTCAGCACAATGCAAACATAGTTATTAATTCAAGAGCTGGAATATAAAACACCTGTTGTAATTCAGTGCCTCAAATAAGTACTGTTTCCGTCATGACTCTGAACTGACTATCATATATGTTTAGTCTTAACAGGGGTTTTACTGAAATGCACTGTATGAGTGGCCACTCAAATTTTGTATCTTGTGTGTGCATCATACCTCCAAGTGACCTCTACCCTCGTGGGCTGATTGCAACTGGTGGCAATGATCATAATATTTGCATTTTCACAGTTGACAACCCAGCTCCTCTTTACGTCCTTAAGGGTCATAAGAACACAGGTATGTAGTAATTTTATTTTGGAGTTTGTAGCATAAAAGTTAATGTGATTGTAAGAGAGGAAATTAAGTTGATGTTATAAAACTCAATTTTGATTTCTTTGGTATTCAACATAGCAAATTTTTAATTATGGCCTCTGCAGAAAGGATTTTATAATCTCAATTCATGCAGTGACTTCATTGCAAGGACTTCCAGGTTTACACTGATGAATGCTTGAGCTTTTACTGTATATGTGAATACATAACAATTTACAGAATGATTACTCTTTTGCCAAGAGTTGCATTTTTAAGAAGCAGTTAGTTAAGTTCTCCATGTATTAAGCTTAATTTTTATGTCAAAGTTGACAGAAGTAGAAAAAGTGAGCTTCCTAAATAAACACACTTTCACTGCCCATTTTGTTACCTAGATGGGAATCTAATATTAATAGGTGCTTTAAACACATAGTGAAGACTAAAAGTTCACTGCAGAAATTTCATCTCTTTTTAGGCAGGTCAGTGCAACATGTGACATATTAAACGAACTTTGTGTACCTTTTCTTGAGCTATATAAGAAAAGATTCAGCATTTTCATATTAGCATACTAAATTTGTCTTTTTGTGAGCTGATCTAGTATTTAATAGACCTTTGAACAGTCTAATTGTGTAATTATAGGGTGTCAATTTCAAGTCTTGGATGTTTTGGGGCTCTTTTTAATTTTGTTAAAGAATGGTTGTGGAGACCAGTTTGAAAATACCCTGGACTGCTAAGCAGCACCAAAAATTTATTTTTGTGTTATAAACCTTTTGGCTTTCTCTGAGAAAGAAAGAAAATGTTATGCATAAAGAGACATAGAATAGCTTATGTACTTTATCAGTAACCTGGGATGGATGAGGAGTTAAAATAACATATGACATGCTCCCTCCAGAGGTGTAAAAAGGGATGAGGTGTTCTAAGCAAGTTATAGATTCCCCTACAAAAAAGTATTTGTAGCAATTTTTACAGTAATGTAAAACACTAAAAAATGTTAAATAACATTAATTGTAAAATCTGTTTCAAAGTGGGGGAAAGAAAGTGACAGGGGTAGAATACTGTCCAGTTCTCACTGTGGAGTCACAGAAGCAAGAAACATAAGGCCATACTTTCCTTTTATGAACAATTAGATGGACAAGTTACTCTCTGTTTATGACTTAGCTCTTTTTGTAAACTTACTAGTATAACCTTATTAGCACCATGTGTCTTCAGTTTTATACTGGAGTGTATTACTGGAGCATTTGCAGATTATCTTTTTGCTGAATCTTTAAATGTCGCCACGATTTCTTGGTAGTAGTATTTTGTCTTCCAAGAAGATGAGCCAAGTATTTTTTGTAGGAAATCTTGCTTCTTGAGGATGTAAATTAATGCATGTTAATGAAGTCTTGGTTTTCTCTGTAATCTTAAAACTAAACCTTTGCATTAATTCTGTGTCTTGACTAGTTACCTAACCTGCTTGCCAACATATTCTAGTCTAAGGAGAAGAGATCTGGTATTAAGAGAAATTTAAAAATATGAATGGCAAAAAGATGTGAAATTTTGTAATCTTAAGGTGAAGAGATTTTTAAGCAGCTCCTTTCTAGCTTGCAGTGCAACTACAGTTCCACTTAATTCTTCCCCAAACTCCTCAACACTAAATATGCCACTAATACCAAGTAAATCTCCTTAAATACATCTCTCTAAATTGCTGGCATAAGATTGGTGGCAGTGCAGAAAACTTGTCAGTGCTGATTTGAATGTCCATTCCAGTTTGCAGCCTTTCATCTGGGAAATTTGGCACGTTATTAAGTGGATCATGGGACACAACAGCCAAGGTCTGGTTGAATGACAGATGTATGATGACATTACAGGTATGAAGTTCCTCTACATGAATATAAAATAGGTATTCTGAATTTCATTCTGTTAAGTCTAACAATGTTGTTGTTTTGCAGGGTCATACAGCTGCAATATGGGCAGTGAAAATACTGCCTGAACAGGGATTAATGTTGACCGGTTCAGCTGACAAAACAATTAAACTGTGGAAGGCAGGCAGATGTGAAAGAACATTCACTGGTAAATGTTGCTGCAGTTGTAATTTCATCAGGGTCATGTGCTTTTTTAAAAATAGAAAAAAATTAAAACCCCACAAAACCGTAGATAAATTGAACAATTTTTAGGCAGGATTTCTAAATTATCTCAAGTTGTATGGCCAGAAATCACATCACTTCTAAAGGAATTAGATTTTTTTTTTTCCAGAGAATAATGAGCAATGAATTGCCTTTTTTTCTTAAACTGCTCCCGTAATGAAGATTGGTTGCCAAGATTTAGATGTGAGCTAAATAGAAATGGTATACTGCTGCTAATGGAAAGAAAAGCTGCATTAAAAGTTTTCCTTTCTTTTATAAAGGACATGAAGATTGTGTGAGAGGTTTAGCTATTCTCAGTGAAATGGAATTCCTTTCCTGTGCTAATGATGCTAGTGTTCGAAGATGGCAGATCTCTGGCGAGTGTCTGCAGGTGTATTATGGACATACAAATTATATATACAGCATCTCTGTCTTCCCTCAATGTAAAGGTAAGATTTTTTTGTGACTGTTACCCAATATTCTTCCAAAATGAAATGACAAGGTAGGCATTCTGTAGTTCTGTGGAGCTGCCACAACTAAAGAACTCAGGTAGTATTTAATTGATTTCTTTCCTTTAGCATAAGTAATTAAAAAAAAAAAATGGTGATTGACTCCAAATCACACCTCCAGCAGAATTGCTCTGGCAGTAGGTGAGATGAAAGGTCCCGAGTTAGGCCCAATTGTAAGGCTTAAGTGAAACTTTGGCGAAGCAATAGGCAAAGCTATCATCTAGATTGCCACCTGTATTTCAGCACTGTTGCAGAGTACTAAAATGGTAATGCGTGGCTTACTAGTTTGAGATAATGTAAATTTAGATAATTCCACAGAAAGTTTTCAAAGTACATTATAAATAGTTTAGGTTAAGAATTTTACGCGTGGGGCTTAAATGCATTTGTTTTCAGAGTTAGAGGTTTAGAGGTTCAGAACTAGCTGTTGCAGACAGTTGCAGAAGAAGTTCCAAGTCAGTGACCTGTGTGTGGTGTATGGAACATTTGCACATTTGTTCAACAGGTAAAGTGCATGTATACTAGTGGATGGGTATGTCATAAATCTCTTAGGCCTTAAAATTCCTCATTGAGGAGTTTATAGACTTTTGAGAGTGCTTTATGCATGTTTCCTGAAAAAGTAGGCCTACTTTGCAAAAAATCCAAATTTAAAACAAATGTGAAACTATGCAAGTGTAGTGTAAAATAAAACAGTGATGGTTACAAAATTGTTCAAAGTTCTTTGATTAAACTCTTGAAAGGAGAAAGGAATCTTTTGTTTGTCTTGGGCATAATTTCATTCCCTGTCTGGCTGCTTAGTCTGCAATTTATGCACTTTATTTTTTTTGAGAAGACAATTACGCAGTGGCTTTCTTTTAGCTCTCTTCTTGGAATTGAGAGAGGTATTAAATTGTAGAAAGCTGTTTTTACTGTTCTAATTTTTAGATACCCGGTTGCAGAACAGCATCTAGTATCACAGTACACTAAAAATATGCTTTAAAAGTTTATATGTTTTTTCTTTTCAGATTTTGTAACTACTGGAGAGGATAGATCTCTTAGAATCTGGAAACAAGGGCAATGTGCTCAAACGATCAGACTCCCAGCTCAGTCTGTGTGGTGCTGCTGTGTATTAGACAATGGTGACATCGTAGTTGGTGCAAGGTATGCAGGTTTTACTCTCAGTGTCTTTTTAGATCTAAATCTGCAAACCCTTGATGAAATTGCAAGCATCACTTTAGATATCAGTTTCATCCATATTTAAAAATACAGCCATCAAAATGTGTGTGGGGATTAAATTTAAACATGTGCTATACTTCATCCAAAAAGTCATTCTTTTGTTTTGTGAATCTCAGAGGCAGAGTGAGTTCTTTGGGAATGTGGTAAAACGTGAATAGACTGAGCATGGACTTAACAAGTACTGTATAAAGAACCCTTTTGATAGGCATATTCTACCTTGATTTTAAAGTTATACTACACGTAGGGTTACCTGCTTAAGTCCTTCTCTGGGTGTTTTTAGCATGAGAGCGAATTCCTTTCATAAAAATCATTGGGAGGGATTGTTAGAAATAATCATGGTTTCTCCTGACATAGAAGTCACCATTAGAATGTATGTAATCATTTTGACATTTAAAATAGTATTTCTGTTTGAATGTTTTCTCTCCATTCAGTGATGGAATTATAAGAGTGTTTACGGAGTCTTTGGAACGTACAGCAAGTGCTGAGGAGATTCAAGCTTTTGAAAATGAGCTTTCTCAAGCATCCATTGACCCTAAAACTGGTGATTTAGGAGATATTAATGCTGATGACCTTCCTGGAAGAGAACATCTTAAGGAACCTGGTAAGTTATTGTACTTTTGTCGTGTTAGAGATCCCTCTAAATCTTGGTTCTGAGGTATTGAAACTTTCCATAGTTTCCAAAATCAAGGCTTTGATCACTTTCAGTAGAGTTGCTGAAGAAAACAGCTTAATTTTGCTCTACTGTCCTTTCATTGATTCCTTTGGAGGCAAGACTGTAGTTTAAATATATGGGGGGGGTTTTGCAGACTAAAATGGTAAAAAATATTTCTCTTCTGAGATAACTTAGAAGGTGGAATTCAGGATGCTGCAGCATGTTCAAGATGTTTTGGATCTGTTATGCCAGCTGTGCGAATAGTATATGAGAGTTACGTAATTTGCAAAAAGACTACTGAATGTGGAATTTTTTTTCCTAAAAGAAAAGTAGATGCAAATTTTCTGCTTTAGCTTTTGGCTTGAAAAATAGTTTGTCTTGATTGACTCAGTTTACACTTTCCAGGTACTCGGGAGATTACTGAGAATACAGTGGAAGCAGTGCTAGTTAAGATTACTCTTAAATAGACAAATACTTTTTCCCAAGGCGAAGTACCCAGTGACCTCAGCCCTTGGCTTTGATCAGCAAGTGGCATAAATGTTACAATCATATGAAGCTTCCCATCTTGTTAGACCATGGGAGAATATCACCTTTCTTGATTGTCATCTCCCTGGGAAAATGGTAAACTTTTGAAATACTTGACTTAAGGATTGCTTTTGCAACTTAGTCTGGTGGCAGATACCATTACCGTAATTGCAAAATGCTGCTGTCAAGATTTCTGCTATTCTTGTTGCAACATGTAGTATCTAGTTACTTCCTGTGCTGTGACTTTAAATGTTGGTGAACTATCTTTTCATCTTTAAATTTGAGTGCTATTTGAAGACTTTTTTCTCTCCTAAAGTAAATTTTATTCTTGAATTTGTTCAAACTCTTAAACACTCCTGTCTACAGGAACAAGAGATGGACAGACACGGCTTATTAAAGATAATGGGAAAGTAGAAGCATATCAGTGGAGCGTTAGTGAAGGAAGATGGATAAAGATTGGCGATGTTGTTGGTTCTTCTGGAGCCACACAACAAACATCTGGAAAGGTTTTATTTGAAGGAAAGGTATATGCAAACTTTAATTGGTTTTATTCCTTCCTAAGTAAAATGCTTAATTTCCCATAAAAATTTATTCCAGTCTTTTCTTAGATAAAATATAATTTGGAAAATAGGTATTTGTTGGTACTTTTTTGTCTTGTTTGATCTATTAAAACTCAGAGGTAGAAGTACAAATAAGTACTACTGTTGAAACACATTTTGTAAAATGAGCAAGCCAATGGACACAACTTATTTTGGAGAAAGGTGAACTATTAGTAGAGAAATGATCAAGTTCTCTAGTATTTATTGCTAATATCTTGAAAAGTTAGTTTTAACTTCCTTTCCAAAACAAGTGAACCGTACAATTTATAATGCGAGGCTTACCTAAAATATTAGGCACCAGGCTTTCTGTACCCCTTTTCTGTAATAACTTTTGAACCTAAAGACAGATAAGCTGAAAAATGTTTCCTTTACTGAAATATACACAGAAAAGTCTCTGTCTAGTGCCACCACAGATGGAATGCCTTTGAGATACTAATTTTATCTCTCACATGGTTTAAAGAAACCTTAGGAATTTGTTGTTTTCTAGTGTTAGAAGTGTGCTTTTAAGATTGAAGTTTTTTGAGACATCTGACTGTCCTATAGCTTTGCAGGCAGCCAGAGCTGTCCATGAGAGTTACCTGATGCACCTGTTATTTTGTAATATATCTGCACACACTTTATCATGATATGTTGTTCTAGGCTGCTGTTCTTGAGACATAGAATTCTGGAAAACACAGGGTATGGTTTAAGTATTTTTTTACCTGCAGCCTGTGTAGGAGAGTGTTATTGATACAATCTGCAAGTAACAGTATTAAAGTTTTTAGGCTTATCCCTGGGCCTTTATTAGTCTGCAATTGATACATCCTTGTGTAAAAAGTACTGGCAAACTTCTAATTTGTTTTTATTTTTATTCTGCTTAAAGGAGTATGACTATGTTTTCACTATTGATGTAAATGAAAGTGGGCCTTCGTACAAACTGCCATATAACATTACTGATGATCCTTGGCTGACTGCATACAACTTCCTGCAAAAGAATGATCTAAATCCTATGTTTCTGGATCAGGTGGCCAAGTTTATTATGGACAACACTAAGGGGCAAACACTGTTGAGTACAAGTGATCAATTTTCAGATCCGTTTACAGGTAAAAATTTTAAACTTAAATGATGACATTGGTCATTCCTCCCAGTTTTGTGTCATCAGCAAACTCACTGAGAGTGCACTCTGACCCATTTTCCAGATCATTAATAAAGGTGTTGAACAGGACTGGACCCAGTACTGACCCCTGGGGTGGGTACACAACCAGTGACTGGCCTCGAACTAGATGTTGTGCCACTGATCACCACCCTCTGGGCTTGGCTGTTCAGCCAGTTTTCAATCCACCTCACTGCTGGTCGGGCAGACTTCAGTGTTGTAGCTCCTGCACTTCTTGTACAGGACTTCCATGTCCTCAAATGATTGAGGGCAAGGCACAGATAGATCTGACAAGAAAAATATGAAAACCTGACAAACTTGTGAAGTATTTGTCAGAACAGATCTTCAACAAAATGTTAATCAAGCCAGTTGCATTTTTCAGTCAAATCTTTTTTTCCAGTGGAAGAAAACTCCACTTTTCATATTACTCTTAAGAGGTGACGAGGTGCTGTTAAGGTAATTAATAAAATACAAAAATTGAGCTAGACAATAAACTGAAACTGAGTGAAATACATAAATGACCCTTTTTCAGGCAGGAAATGGAACTAGAACAAGTTGATTACTCATAAGTTGAACCATGGTAATCAATTACATCCTGCTTATCACATTTGCAAAATAAACCAGTCTTATTTCAATTAGTTTCACAACATGAAGTTAGGAATAAAATATCATTAAAATGATTGAGCTACATCTTTTTCTTGCAATGAACTAGAAATGAGAATACAGGCTGTTAATCAAGTTCAGATGTAACCCACAGAGCTGCAGTTATCTGAACTTATGCACACACTTTTGATTTGGCTGTGTCCAAATGTGTAATGTGGGTGCCCCAGAAAACAAATTTCTGACCCTCAAATAATTAGGAAGAATTTGTTCAGCATCAGGAGACTTCTCTATGAATAGAATCAGGTTTCTTATAATGCCACAAGAAACAGTAAGACTTATTTGATGTTTGGCTTTATTTTTGAGCTGTTTCTGTCTGAAAAATACTGGCATTTTAATAACATCAAGCTGTGTATAGTAGTCATTGCTTTTCTTACTGTTTCACTAGGTGCTGGACGTTATGTTCCAGGCTCTTCATCTGGATCAAGTACAATACCTGCAGCAGATCCATTTACGGGTAATGTAAAATTAATAATCTGTCTTGCTAGCATTTAGGATGCATATTTTATCGTGTTCAGTTGCATTCAGCATTCGGCTTCAGATCACTGTTTCTTGCAGTTCTCCATTTGGGGCAGTAGTGTGCGACGAACTAATGAGGTGGACTCCGCCACTGTCAAACCGTGTCCAGATCTGTTCAGTGGAGGAGAGCCCTCTACTGTCTGGTCTGCCTCATGTCACTCTGTCCTCTACAGCAGAGAGTACGGTCTTACACCTTCTGTTTTGTCAAACTCTCATATGCATGGCCAACACAGGAATGGGTATATTCATAGAAGTAGTTTTCTTCTTTTCCTTATTATTCCTTTTTTCTTATTACATGACCTTTATTGGTACCTTCCACCCTAAATTTTAGATTCTAACCCTCCCTGGCATAGCTAGTTTAAAGTCTTCCTCACTAGTTTAGCAAGCCTGTTTGCAAAGACATTCCAGCCCTGCTTTGTCAGACTTATCCCATCCCAGCTTAGTAGCTCTTGCTCCTCAAAGAGAGTCCTGTAGTCGATAGATGCCAAAGTCCTGCCTGCAAAACCAGCCATGCAGCGAGTTGCTGACCCACTTGATGAGTCCGTTTCTACTCAAGTGTTTCTGCTCTGCTGGCAGCATCAAAGAAGCACCACCTGGGCCCTTCACCCTTGTCCTCAGAGCTCTCTAATCATTCTTGATACTCTCCAGGACTTTCTTGGCAGTATCATTGATGCCCATGTGGAAGAGTAGGAGGGTAATAGTCTGAAGGCTAGGCAAGACCTGGAAGTCTCTCTGCAGCATCCTGGTCCCCAATAGACACAAACATCCCAAGATACCGGATATCGGGTCCTGTCAGTAGATAGGTGCCTCCATACCCTGCAGGAGGAAGCCTCCCACCGCTGCTGCTTGCCTTTCCCCTTTTTGCAGACACGAGGTGCAGTCTCTGGCTCTGATGCATCCCCTGTTGGGTGTTTGTCCTCACCAGCGCCAGGGCGCTGTGCCTGTTCTGCAGTTGCAGATATACAGGTGGAGCAGAAACCTTCCCCATCTTGACAGTCTTTCTCTGTTCCTGTTCTACTGTGGTCTCCAGCTTGTCTCCTCCCTTGCTTTGTGTGGCTCAGGTTATGGTCTCTGCAGATGTAAAGACGCTGCAGCTCCTTCACCTGAGGCCTCAGTGCCACAAACAGAATCCACCTCCCACAGGAGAGGCCACTGCTGGCCCCAGGCAGAAAGAGAGGCCAGGCCTGGGCAGTGGTGCCCTAGCCCTGGAGCTTGTCATGGGTAAGGTATCTGCTGTGCTGAGGGCCTTGCACCAGTGGGTGCCAGAGACCATGCCAGCATGTCTCCCAGCTGTGGGTCACTTAGCTTGTGAATGCCATCATCACCACCAGCACCACCCTCACACATATGCATAGATTTAATCTTAAAATTTCAGGAAGTGTTGAAGACTTCTTTTGAATTCCTTTAGTGCAAAATAACGTCTTTAATAGTGGTGTTTGAAAACTAAATACAGATATACATTACCTCTTTACCAGTGGTGGTGTTTAAAAAGCCTAATGTCTCTGTTCAGGTGCTGGTCGCTATGTTCCTGGTTCAGCATCAAATGCAGTAGCTCCAGTGAGTGGGGTTGACCCATACACAGGTAAGAGATGATGCCTAACAAGGAAAAGCATCCCTGATCTTTTGCTTTGGTTTTTCCTTTGACAAGGATTCTATATTGATGAAAATTTATACTTAATTAAAATAATGAGCTGATTGAAGCTGCTTATATTATGGAAATTATTCAGAAAATGGGGATAGCGGAGCCTTTCTTTACACGCAGGAATCATGCACAGAAGCTTTAAAATACATGATAGTAATCTGGTTTTGAGAGGATTTTTGGTTTCCTACTTGTTACGTTGTTGATCAAAGATACTGATATATGTACTTAACGGAAATTACACAGTATCAGCCACTAATTCACCTGTGATTCTAGGAAATCATTATAGGTCATAGATTAAAGCTTTTTATTACTCTTTTTCTGAAGCTACTATTGAATGTGACATAACTTGTTCATATCTGCAAATCTTCCAATATATAAAAACTTTGACCATTCATTATGAAAATAATCAAAAGATAAGATTTCAGGGGCAGCAGGGATCTTTGTTCTAAAACGACCCCTGCCATTTTCATGTCTTAACTGCAATACCCATTCCTATGAATGACAGTTCATGTAATTCTGAAATCACCATTAATATTTTTACATTGGGAGAGAACAGTTTGTGAAGGTATTGCTTTAAGCTTTGAATGTAAAAATAACATAAGGAATGATGGCTATTTGCATAAGCATTCAAATTCTTTTAAAGATATTTTTCTGAGTGATGTCCAGCAGGAGAGACTTACTGGTAGGATATTGTTCTATGTCAGACACTGTGGTGTACACTGTTGAACTTTTCTATTTCCTTTATGTAGGAATGGGCGCCTACCAATCAGCTGCAGCGAAAGTTGAAAATATTTATTTTCCGAAGAAGGATGCTGTCACCTTTGACCAGGCCAATCCTACGCAGATACTGGGTCCGTGTTTTCATTTCAAGGATGGTTTTATTTTTCATCTGTCTGAAGTAACTTCACTTTTGATCTTTTCAAAAAACTAAGTGATTTCCCATAGCTTTCCTACTGTTTCTTGCTTTTGACCTTTTAAAATTGCATTCATCACTCTAATGCTGCATGTATTTAAAGGCTTAGGAGTATGAGTAAATTTCACAAAAACTCTATCTAATACAGGATATCCAATTTTTTTCCCCTCGGCTTATGTCCGCTATTATTCAGCATCTTTTTTATCAAGCTGGTACATTTGAATACTGTACTTTTTTTCGCTTAGCTACTGGGTATGCAGGTCATGTGCAATCCCTTTCTGATTTTGCTCATGAAAGTTTTAGTTCACCAGGTAGCCATACAGTGTAATCTATGAAGTTTTAAAGTAAGGCATTCTGCAATTTCACAGGTTGTAATAGCAGAACACTCTGTATAATAGAAAAAGAAAACAGTGTACAATATTTAGTAATTATACACATTTTTGGTAAATGTTATTATTGGCTTGTTTTTCCCTCTCTTTTCCCATGTTTCATTCCTATTCTACTCTCTTCTACATTTTCTGTAAATGTTCCACAAAATCTCTATTCTATTTGTCACCAGTTTATTTCAGTATGTTTCTGTAGAGTGCCTCAGTACATCTACGATTTGTAAAACTAGTTTCTATTCACAGTGTACCTGCCTTCAAGATCTCCAAATTAAAATTCTCTTGCTTCCTTCCCTCCCCTTTGTATACAGAGCTTGAAAATGTTGTAGTTGTCTAGATAGTGTGACAAGGAAACATAAAACAAGAGATTCTGCTTTTTAGAAAAAGTGTACCGTCACCTTTATCCAACTTCTTGAAGAGGGCAAGCTCCTGGCCTTACAGTCATGGAATCATAGAATGGTTTGGGTTGGACAGGACCTTTAAAGATCATCTAGTCCAACCCCCCTGCCATGGGCAGGGACACCTTCCGTAGGTCAGCTTGCTGAAAGCCCCATCCAACCTGACCTCAAACGCTTCCAGGGATAGGGCATCCACAACTTCTCTGGGCAACCTGTTCCAGTGTCTCTTTTGGTTTAAAACCATTACCCTTGCCCTGTCACTATGGGCCCTGGTAAAAAGTCTCCCTCCATCTTTCTTATAAGCCCCCTTTATATATTGAAAGGCTGCAATAAGGTCTCCCTGGAGCCTTTTCTTCTCCAGGCTGAATAACCACAACTCTCTCAGCCTTTCTTCATAGTTCCAGCCTTCCCAAATGGCACGCACTCCGATG